TTGGCCCCTTGCATCTGCTGACTCGGGGCAGAAGCCCAGCCAGACGGCCCGTTCCATCCCGGGACGCCGGCGGCCCCGCGCCCGTGCCCTTCACCTCACCTTGCTCGCGAGCCGCCGCCACGGCCTCTTCCGCCCCGCACCCAGCCCAGGTCGGCCTCGCGCCCCCTCCCCGCTCCCCGCCGCTCCCCGGCTCGGCCGCCCCCTCACCGGGCAGGCACCGCAGCTGCAGGAGCCTCCAGCCCGCTCGGCCGAACGCGCTGGACACCGCCGCCATCTTGGGAGCGGGCACGTCTCCGACGTCAGCGCAACCACTTCCGCCCTCACGCTCCGCGTGAGCCCCCGCCTCTCGCGAGAAGCGCGTGCGCGGAGCCGGCGGCTGCGGAGACGCGAGGAAGGCGTCCCGGGTACCAGGTAAGCGCTTGTTGGGTGCCGCCAAGAACACAACCTCCCCTGGTCGTCCCCTCCCGGCCCATCCTCGTCCCCAGACCCTCCCATGTCCTCGTCCCAGTCGTGTCACTTGGTGGGAACTAGCCTTGGCCACCTCCCCGAGGACCATGGCGGGCTTTTGCCCTGAGAATCCAGCGTGAGGGGCCGGACCGGTCTTGTCGGCCGCGGGCTCCTGGCGCTGTGGCCCTGGTCCTTCCTGGAATGCCTGCCTCGGCCTAGGCCCCAGGGACAGCGGTCGGGAGGAAGCGCCGGGGCTGGGGTCCCAGAGGCCGGGGTGGGAGACCCCCTTCTGCCCGTGGCCAGCTGTTGTGACCTTGGGCCTCGGTCCCACGTCTCGAACGGAAGGCGTTTCGTTTCGGTCGTTGGGGGAACCTCCAGGTTGTACTTTGGAGCCAGTGATTTTCCTGAACCTCTGAGGCAACGGTTCGCAACCTGGGGGTCGAACGACCCTTTCACAGGGGCCGCCTAAGACCATCGGAAAACACATACATAATTACATATTGTTTTTGTGATTCATCACTATGCTTGCATTATGTTCAATTTGTCACAGTGTAAATATCTGCATACCAGATATTTACATGACGATTCATAACAGTAGCAACATTACAGTGATGAAGTAGCAACGAAAATAATGTTATGGTTGGGGGTCACCACAACATGAGGAACTGTATGAAAGGGTCGTGGCGTTAGGAAGGTTGAGAACCACTGCCCTGAGGTGATGAGTTGGTTCTAATCAGCTATTTCCCAAACTTGCCGGATGGGAAGAACCACGGGGGATGCTTGCGGGTCGGCCGGATGCCCAGGCCTTTCTCCTGGAGGGTTGGTTCATTCATTGCATGCGGGTCTCCTCCAGGAGCCCGGTTCTAACACCAGCCCCGCTCCGGGTGATTTGTAGGATCTGCAGCTTTGGGAAAGGCTGGCGGCGTTCATTCAGACACGGAGCGCCAAGCCCCGGGTGACCCCGGAAGGTCAGACACGGGGTGCCCAGCCCTGGGTGACCCCGGAAGGTCACGGACTGGCCTCAAACCACTGTCCTCGCAGAGCCGCGCGGGGATTTCTGTTGTCAGAGGAGCTGAGCACGTCATTCTGTCAAGTTTGTGTTTGCAGTCAGACCCCGCCTGGTCTCTGTGTCTGTTTAAGCCAAAACCCCCCCAATGTTAAAATTTCACACCCATCTCTCCAGTTCCATAAAGCACTGCCCTATGGGTTGTTTTGTTTTCTGAGTTCTGTCCATTTATCTTCAGATGAGCCTCCTCTCTGTGTTCACGTAAGAAACATTCAATCCTGTGAAGAATTTTTGTGAGTTTATTTGAGCCAAACTGCTGACAGTTGCCGGGAAGCTGACTCTCAGTGGGTTGAAGATAATGGTCCGGAGGATGGCGCTTTTGTACTTTGTTTTGTACATTACAATCAAAGGAGGAGCCCTAAGCGGGTTACACGAAATCCGTTGGTGATGGATTAGGGGGGTGGCGGGAGAAAGCACAGCCGGAAACCTCTAGAACTGGATAAAAAGTAAAAGGATGGACACACTTCTTGTGCTTCTGTGGGTGCAACAGTCTACAACCATCAGGATGACAGTGATGATGAGGGGATTTGTGGTCTCTGTGCTTTGAGGGGTCTGGAAAAGGGAAATCACTTTGTTTTTGCAAAGACATGTTATTCTAGACACAAACGGGCTTAGTTCAGGTGAAGGTTAACCTTTGCTAGGGAAAAATACTGCCTTGGGACCTGACTACCCACAGTGAACTGCTTGTAGTTTGAAGAAGTGCTCATTCCAGACCATCCTTTGTGGTTATGTAGGTCTCTAAGTTTGCAAGGCCGCCACGCAGGCCTCCCCTAAGCTTGTCCAGGTTTAGTATATGGCTCCTTTCGCCCACAGGTGGATGTTCTAGCGTTTGTAACCCTTAACTCTTGACACACACCTAATTGCCTGGTGACAATCTTCCTTTTCCTTTTCCTTTTCCTTTGAGTGTCCTGTTTCCTTGCTGATTATCCCCCTTTTCCCCCCTCTGTGTGTGTATATATATATATATTCATGAGCTTCAGTCAGTTCATTTTAATTAAAATTTTCTTTTCTGGTGACTGTCAGGATTTTCAGGCGGTTTTTGTTGTTTTTGTTTTAATCCTCACCTGCGGATACTTTTCCATTGATTTTTTAGAGAGTGGAAGGAGGGGAGAGAGAGAGAGAGAGAGAGAGAGAGAGAGAGAGAAACATCGATGTGAGAGAGACACATTGATTGGTTGCCTCCCCCAGCACCCTGACCAGGGCTGGGGATTGAACCTGCAACCCAGGTACGTGCCCTTGACCGGAATCAAACCGGGGACCCTTCAGTCCTCTATCCATTGAACCAAACTGGCTAAGGCTTTTATTTCTTTTTTCAATATTGTTTTTCTTGGTTTCAGAGAGAGAGAGAGAAACATCAATGACGAGAGAAAACCATTGATCCTGCATGCCCCTCACTGGGGACTGAGCCCACAATCCCGGCATGTGCCTTGACTGAGAATCGAACTGTGACCTCCTGGTTCATAGGTCAACGCTCAACCGATGAGCCATACCTCCCAGGAAGGATTCTCAGGTTTTTTTATGCACCTGACTTAAAAGGATTTGATTTTTTACTTGAACCAATACCCAAACGTCAATCTTAGTTTTTTCTTTTTCTTTCTTTTTTTTTTCTTTTAAATATATTTTATTGGTTTTTTACAGAGAGGAAGGGAGAGGGATAGAGAGCCAGAAACATCAACGAGAGAGAAACATCGACGAGCTGCCTCCTGCACACTCCCCACGGGGATGTGCCCGCAACCAAGGTACATGCCCCTGACTGGAATCGAACCCAGGACCCTTGAGTCCGCAGGCCAATGCTCTATCCACTGAGCCAAACCGGCCAGGGCTTAGTTCTTTCTTTTGGCCCCGTTCCTCCTTAAGAGAAGACAAATGCCTCAAGATTTGATGTTAACTCGGTACCTTAAAAAGAAGCAGGTGTGCCCTAGCTGGTTTGGCTTGATGGATAGAGCATCTGCCTGCGGACCAAAGGGTACTAGGTTTGATTCCAGTTGAGGGCACATGTCTGGGGTTGTGAGCTCGATCCCCAATAGGGGGCGTGCAGGAGGCAGCCAATCAATGATTCTCTCTCATCATTGATGTTTCTATATTTCTCTCCCTTCGTCTCTGAAATCAATAAAAATACATTAAAAAAAAAAAAAAAAAAAAGAAGCAGGTGTATCTCCAGAAGTTATTCTGAGACATCTGCTGTCACTGCCTGCAGGAACGTTTTAGAAGAGCCACGGGCATGTGTGTGCAGCAGTTAGAGTTGGACAGGTGGCTAACAGAGACGTCCAGTGCCATGACAGTGACTTCTACTCCACCTCTAAAGGCACAGGTTGAGCCCAGCCCATGTGGCTCAGTGGTTGAGCCTGCAAATTGGGCTTGTGCCCCGACTGGGAATCCAACCATGACCTCCTGGTTCATGGGTCAATGCTCAACCACTGAGCCATACCAGCCAGGACCATTATTCTAGAAACATGTCATTTGTGTCTTATAACTTAATCCCCAGCGATCCATATTTCTGTCTTCCCTGGCTGGTTCTTAAATGTGAGGAGATGGATCTCAAGTCACTCAACTTAAAGATTTGCAAAGCTTCTTCCTCAGTATCATGTGTATCATGTGACAGTAAAAGCCTTAAAAGTCTTTATTTATTGCCCAACCGGTGTGGCTCAGTGGTTTAGCGTTGACCCATGAGCTAGGAGGTCAGGGTTTGATTCCTGGTCAAGGGCACATGCCCAGGTTGCAGGCTCGATCCCCAGTAGGGGCCACATGGGAGGCAGCCGATCAGTGATTCTCTTTCATCACTGATGTTTCTATCTCTCCCCCCCCCTCTCTCTCTCTGAAATAAATAACATTTAAAAAAAGAATTTTAAAAAGTAAATAAGATAAAAGTTTTTATTTCATGATTATGCATTGTTTAGGGATTTGAAAACCATAATTCAGTGACTAAGGAATCCTGATTGTCTAATAACACTTGGCAGCCTTTTACTGCGACTTGCAGCCAGGTCAGGATAGTAAAGAGTATGCATTCCACACGGAAGAAACTCGATAAAAGGCATGATAGAGCAAAACTGCAAAATTCACTTTGGAGAGGTGGAGACACACGTGGAGCCAGATTGTAGAGAACCTGAATCCCGAAGACGAAGGAGTTTTGCTTTTGCTCTGGAAAAGAAAACCTTTCGGATAAAGCTCCTTTCGGAAGTGAGCAGCAAAACCAGAGTGCTGCAGCGGTGAAGGATGACTGGCTAACCTGGGCTTGTTTCGGGGGCAGAGGAGCAAGTCATTTGAAGTCAACATTTTTTAAAAAAATATATTTTATTGATTTTTTACAGAGAGGAAGGGAGAGGGATAGAGAGTTAGAAACATTGATGAGAGAGAAACATCGATCAGCTGCCTCCTGCACACCCCCTACTGGGGATGTGCCCACAACCAAGGTACATGCCCCTGACCGGAATCGAACCCGGAACCCTTGAGTCTGCAGGCTGACGTTCTATCCACTGAGCCAAACCGGCCAGGGCATGAAGTCAACATTTTTAAAGAAGGAAGAACATATGCACACGGCTTAAATTCCGTCCCAGAGTGTCGATGGTGGTATAATTGTCACAGCCACCTCTGCAGAAGACAGTGTTCAGCATAAGACTGATTCACCCTGATGTCCCCACCACAGCTTCTGTCCCGATGTCATTTATTGGAGCTATTTTAAGTCGGAAACTTTGTGGCATTAATATTTAAGAAAGAAAGGAGGAACTGAGTAGAGTGCTAGCTCCTGACCCGATTTCATTCTCTACTCGCCTGAGTATCAAGTGGAAGAGAAAGTTGACCCATGTGGGGAAATTTCCATAGGATGAAAGCCCTGGCTTTACAGTCATGTGGACTTGGATTCAAACCCCAGCTCTTACTATATCCACACAACACTTACTAGTGTGTGTCCTGGGCAAAGTCAGAGGCCTCAGTTTCCTGGCTGTCAAATGGGAATAATGCCTAGGTTAAGTTGTTTCTGAGATTCATTTGAGATCATGTATGTAACGTGTTTTTAAACACCCTGGCTATACTAAATATTAAAGAAAGACATAGTAGATACTGTTGATCACTGATACATTGATCATATTTTGCTAAAAGGGAAAATATTCAACTTGCCAAACCTAATAACTTGTCTCTTTAAAAAAACACACACATTAAGCTTGTGGTTGGGTTGTCTGCCAATTTCTTTGCCTTTCTTGCTGAGTCATACTTCTGCCTAATTAGTGTGTTGCCTGTTATATATTCTGGTCAAGCTGAACTGTCTCATATCAGAGAGGAAATAACTTTCTGCCTTCAAGCTCTTTACTTGACTGCCAAGTCAGGGTGCTCTGAGGAGGCAGCCTGCTTTTTGGGTATGTTGGGGTTATGAAACCTTGGGGTAACGAGCTCGTTCATTTATTCAAACTCTGGTATTGACAGCAAGAATCTCTAACGTGGTCCGCATTCCCGGTCAGAATTAGGTTGTGATTCTAATCACAGTCGATGGTGCCTCGTGGGTGAAATTGCGCTTTCGTCCCTGCTCAGCCCTGACTCTCCTTTGGCCGGTGGTTTTAGGTGTGCACACAGCAGGGATGGCAGACTTTGGGATCTCGGCTGGCCAGTCCGTGGCGGTGGTCTGGGATGAGCCCTCCCCGCCGGAGGCTCTGAAAGACCTGGTGGAAAAGCTGCAGGCGATAACCGGCAGTGAGGGCCGAGTGTCTGTGGAAAACATCAACCAGCTGTTGCAATGTAAGTACCTACCCAGGTTGTCTTTACAGGGTCGGGGTGGGGCGAAGTGGGGAGCTTTCAACGGGAGTGCTGCACTTCTGATAAGATAACCGAGTTTTTGTTTGGGTGGCACATGATGGCAGTGGCCTGTCACCCTGCTGTTTTCAGTTGAGACACAGTGGACTCAGGAGTGTGGTTGATTTGAATAGCACAGGGGTCCTCAAACTACGGCCCGCAGGCCACATGCAAATACAAATATTGTATTTGTTCCCATTTTGTTTTTTTACTTTAAAATAAGATATGTGCGGTGTGCATAGGAATTTGTTCATAGTTTTTTTTTTTAAACTATAGTCCGGCCCTCCAACGGTCTGAGGGACAGTGAACTGGCCCCCTGTTTAAAAAGTTTGAGGACCCCTGATATAGCATGTTCTTGTTTCTTTCTTAGCTACGCCACTTTTTCTTTTAAAGCCTACTCTTCAGCTTCCTCTTTGACTTCTTCCCACGAGCGTATCAAAGGATATGAAAGTAGTAAGACTGAGGGAGAGCAGGGCAGCAGTGTCCTTTCCCCTCATCCTAGCAGTGGTGGTCTAATCGCATTTGCTGGACGGGTGGGTGTGCATTCTACAGGGCCAGGCGTGGCCTTGGTGCGGGCTCGGAGGGCTTGGGAGACAGCTCCTGGCGTCCAGGTGGTTGCTGACACCGTCTTCCTTCTTTTCAGCTGCACACAAAGAATCTAGCTTTGACGTTATTCTAGCGGGTGCAATTCCTGGAAGCTGCACTCTGCACAGTGCTGAGGTTCTGGCTGAGATGGCCCGGATCCTTCGGCCTGGGGGAAGTCTGTTTCTGAAAGAGCCAGTGGAGACAGCTGTAGGTAAGGAAGCCTTCCTCTGAAAGACGGGACTTTCGCAGGGTTGCATCTGTGCCTATGCTTGCTGCATCTCTGAGCAGGAGCTACCATTTGGAGATCAATATTCTTACAGCTGATCTTATCATTAGATATACATTATTGTAAAAAATCTGAAGCTACACATCTGAAGAAATGTGTGATCTCTGACCCAGGAGGTAGTAAAATAGAAGGAAACCGCCTATCTGAACATGGCTGGGTCCTTCAGCAGGTGAACGAACGGTTAACCTTTGCTATGTCTGTACCATGGGAAACCGTGCAGCAGTAAAAGGGAACAAACTTCATATGTGCAGCACCTTGGATGAATCCCAAGGGAATCGTGCTGAGTGAAAAAGCCAGTCTCAAAGGTCACACGCTGTCTGATTTCGCTCATACAACATTCCTGAAATACAAAGTTACAGGTGACGGAAAATGAATTGGTGACTGTCTGGGAGGTGGTGTGTGAGGCTGTAAAGGGCTAGTACGGGGGCTTCTGTGGTCAGAGAACAATCTATATCTTGATTGTGGTAATTGGTTACACTAAGCTACATGTGTGCTAAGATTGCCTAGAACCACACACACATATGCACACACACGTGCATGTAAATCTGGTGAAATTTGGATAAGCTCTGTGGACTTATCAGTGTCGGCTTCCTGGTCTTCATATTGTATTAGAATTGTATCAGATGTTACCAGGGGGGAAGTGAGGTTGATGGGCTCTCGAGACATCTCTGAACTTTTTAAACATCCTGTACATCCATAGTTGTAGTTGAAATATAGTGACTGGAAATGTGGGAGTGATGAGGTAATTATTGATTCATGGAAAACTATGATGGAATTCAGGAAATAAAAACCTTTCTTTTTTGTTCAAGTGGTAAAGTGTCAAAGAATTATATAATTCTGAATTTTAACATTTGTTAACCAGACTTTGCATCAAAATGTGATGACTTATTTCACCAATAGAAATGAAAATATTTTGAAGTATATGAAGATGTTTATGTGGAGCTATAAAAACGTTGCTGGGAATGTAAACGTTGGGTGACTAAACACAGTGTCTTTCATCAGAAGTATAAAAAGATAACCCGATACTTGTTACGTTAGAGTTTCTAAGCCTCTTTCTAATCATTATCTAACAACCCTGGAAGGCTTGGTATTTCCAAGAAGCAGAGAGCTATAAGAAACAATAATGGAATTACTATCTAAAACTTAGGAGTACTGGTAAGAGAATTTTGAATAACCAAGTCAAATTAAAATATCATCGAAATGTATGTACATTAAACAGAAAAGGTTATTATTGTTCTAATGCCTGATGACTCAAACAGGATAGAGCCTTTATTATTTTTCCTGCTTTCACCTATAAAGCTGCTGATTGGGGTTTTCCTCTTGGCAGCTAACGATAGCAAAGTGAAGACGGCGTCTAAGCTGTGTTCGGCCCTGACTCTGTCTGGTCTTGTGGAGGTGAAAGAGGTATGTTGGGAGACAGCCTTCTTTGCCGGGAACCTAACCCTGGGTCACTAACCTAGTACGTACCTCTTCGTAGACAATACAGAGAGAACTGGGGAAATACCAGCCCTGAAGGGGAGGTGGTCAGTTCGCTTAGACTAGGAATGAAGCTGGGAAGTGCTTTGCATGTGAGATACATGAAGCCTCCAGGGACAAAACCTCTGGGATAGTCCCCCCTGAAGAGGCTCGGCTGGGGCCCAGGTGGGTGGGGGCCTATTCCGGTGTCAGTGCTGGTTAGTGGGGCTGCCCGCTGAGGCCGCAGAGCGGAGCACAGATCTCTTAGTGGACGCCAGTCCTAGGCCCCAGGGAAGGGCAGTCACCTAGATCATCCTTGGATATTTGGTGGGCGGCTGGTGGAGGTTGGAGGGGAAACCCCATTTTTGACAGTTCAGTAGGAATATTTTAATTAAATAGAGGTGTTTATATTTCTACATTCTTCCCTGATGTTGAGATTTTCTTAGGTGTGAGGTAAGAATAATATAATGAGAGCCATTATACCACTGATTTGCTACATGACTGAAGACCTTAATTTATTCATGCCCACTCTTTATTTTTCTTTTTAGTTTAAGGTTTTCCATTTTTTATTCTAAAATAAGGAATGCTCACAAAAATTCAGTTAATACTGAAGAATATTGAACATGAAGTGATGACATCCCAGTCCTTGCTCACATGTCTCTCCCCAGAGGAAACCATTCATTATGTATTTGCAGCCACACACACACACACACACACACACACACACACACGTATATACATATGTCATTACTTAATGTCAGTAAGGTCATATGTATACATTGTTAGGTCACTAGCTTTTTGGACATTTACCCATCTGAGTGTATCATCCCTTGTTCGTCTTCATGATGTAACAGTAGTCAGTGCTATAGGTGGGCTGTGGTTTGTTTAACCATTCTATAATTGTTAGACACAAGGTTATTATTGTTTTAATGACACAGCACCCCCACTCATTTTTTTACTTTTACTGTCTGCTGCTACTTCCCAAGGCACATAGAAAGCATTTCCCTCCCCCTGTGGTTCTTTTCCTCTCAGAATCTAAATTTTACTGTCTTGATGGTGGGTCTGCTTCCCCACTACAGGCTTAGATCCAATTCAACAGGGCCATGTCTGATTCATCTTCACAATACTCACCCAACCCTCACAATGAATAGCACCGTGCCTTATGCCTAATAGATATTTGATAATGTTTTAAAACTTTGGAAAGTTTTAAAACTCCAAGTAAAATAGGCCCAAAGTAAAAATGTACACAAAAGTTGCACTCTAGGGTTATGATCAGTGAGAAACTGATGTGACCATGAGGTGATGCCTGTTACTCCCGCTGTTACCCTATGTACTACTTAAAACAGCGGTCGCCAGCCGGTGGTCCGTGAGGTCCGAAAGGTTGGTGACCGCTGGTTTAAGGAAACCTTTGGAGCAGTGGTGGCCAACCCGTGGACACTAGTGGTCCGTGAGGTGCGAAAGGTTGGTGACCGCTGACTTTAAACACAGAAATTAGGATTTGATGCCCATATAGGTGGGCTTAGAACATCATTTTGTAGGAGTGTGGCCTGATCCTTTTGATGTCTTGAATTCCAGCTGCATCGGGAGTCCTTGAGCCCTGAGGAGATACAGTCTGTCCAAGAACATCTGGGTTACCATAGTGACAGTTTGGTCTCTGTGCAAATCACAGGCAAAAAACCCAACTTTGAAGTGGGTTCTTCTAGTCAACTTAAGCTTTCTACTGCCAAGAAGTCGTCTCCCTCAGGTAAGACTGGACATTATTGTCTGAATAGTCCTGAAGGACACATTAGGAATTGAGACAGAAATCTGAATGACGTGATAGATTTTTAGAGGATTAGTCCTTCCTTCATTTCTGTCATTTCCAGATGGAAGAAATTAAGGAAGGACTAATCCTCTAAAAATGGAAGAATGCTTATTGTACTATTGTCCTAGGCATTTTCAGATCGCAACAGAACTAACGCATAGATATTATCTAGTTCAGCCCTTCTGCACTGGAGGACACTGAGGCCTCCAGATTTTATTATGTTGTTGTTTTTATTAATTTCAGAGAGAGGAAGAGAGAGAGAGAAATATCAGTGATGAGAGAGAATCATCAATCAGCTGCCTCCTGCACTCCCGCTACTGGGGATGGAGCCCACAACCTGGGCATGTGCCCTGACGGGGAATCAAACCATGACCTCCTGGTTCATGAGTCAATGCTCAGCCACTGAGACACACTGGCTGGGCGAGGACTCCGGATTTTAGAGGCCTGAGTCACAGAGCTTAGTTATTGAAGTCTCTCCAGGCCCCAGAATTTTGATATTTATCCTCAGGAGACCTCATGGTGGTGTCATGATAGATAGGAGTGCCCTGCTCCTCTTCCCATGTGTCCTCTGCCTTTGTGCCAATAGAGTTAGCTTTTCTTCCTTTGAGGATCCTAAGACACTTGTAAAAATATTTCTTCTGCTCAGAAAATTACACTCCCGACCCTGCTTTGCATTTCCTATCGCTGTTTTTTAACGCCCAGGTTGAGAAAATTGTCCCAGCTCTGAGATGTGCAAAGGTGTATATGTTCGGTCACACAGCTCTGTTTTGACTGTCCAGCCTACTTACACCTTCAAGAAACCCTTGGGAATCCTAACCTTTGGGTTCGTAGTCCCGTATGGTGGGAACAGCTCAGATGAGCAGTTTGCCCAGTGGAAGGTCCGAGCATGCAGTTGTGGCAGTGATCACTAGGGGGTGCTCTTACCCCCAGGCCCATTCGAGGCCAGGCCTCACACTGAATTGGGGTCTCAGCCCTTTTCTGGCCCTTCTTGGGCTCTCCTGTCCCGTAGAGGAACTCAGGAAGTGTGAGGTTCCCGCCACCGATTTGCTACACTGCCAGCATCGGTTCCAGAGCTTGTTTTCTTGTGTGTAACAGGTTTATGTGAGGCTGAAGCTGCGTGCTCATGCTTTCTGTCACATTCTCATTCATCTTCAATCTCCCGCAGTAGGTGTACGGAGTACCATAGGTCCGTGTTCTGAGGGTGGAAACCAAGAGAAAGGAGAAAGCAATGTAGAGTGGAAGTGAAAGCATTAGAATGGCATGTGTGGCTTTGTGGCCTAAGTGTCCAAACCTGCTTTCTAGCTATGCAATTAGGATGACAGAGGCTTCCCGCCTAAGGTTGTTAGCAGGATTAAATGAGATGATGTATGTGAAATGCTTTATATAATGTCTGGTACAGAGCAATATTTTTAAAAAGGATGGCTTCTGTGACTATCACAGTGAGCGATCGGCACAAGGTCCTGCCTTTTGTAAGTGGTGGAGCTGGGCCTTGAACCCGTGTCTTTTGACTCTCAGTCCAGTATGTTCTCTGCACAGAATCTCTCAATAGAAAGCACTTAGGTTTGCTTGTAGTTTGTGTAAGGCTTCTTAATAGAGCTCTTTTTCTTTTTCTGCTTGGACTCAGTGAAGCCTGCTGTGGACCCTGCAGCTGCCAAACTCTGGACCCTCTCAGCCAATGACATGGAGGATGAGAGCATGGTGAGGCGGCACCTGTTGATGGCTTTCCTTTAGCCCCCACGTTGGGGATGCGTGTTTCTGGTTGGGAGCGGCCGCTCGGGACTCGTGGCTGTGAAGGTGTTTAAAGCCCAGCGTTGAGGCTGTGCCTGTCACCGGCATTTCTCAGTTAGGAGGCACCTCCCCATTAGTGGCCTTTGACATTTCTTTTCAGCATGTTTTCCCCACAGATTTTCTTGTTCTTACTTCAGGCGATACATTAAAGACGCTCGTGGGCATGTGCAAACTTGAAAAGAGTTGTCAGCTGAAATGTTTTTATTGGCTCCTTTGGCCAAGTCACTGACACTCACTGTCTTCAAAGCCATGCTCCATCTTTGATCGGTGCTTCCATAACAAAGTTGTTCACTTCTCCAACTATCGAAGTTCTAGTGGCAAGCAAAGTAGGTTATGGTTCGTGCCCTCATAGAACTTACAGGTTACCTGTCCACGCGTTTATCAAAGAATTACGCAACATATGTATCATATTGGCCCTTTTCTCTGGAATTCTAGAGAAAATATTTTATTCCCCTTTCCACCTGACAGGCCTTCTTATACATACAGGGTGTCCCAGGAATGTATCCACACACTTTGAATAATTATAAAAGCAGTGTTTATTGAAGTATTTTTCATTTACCAGCTATCAGCTGTTCCCAGTGTAAATCGGTTCCCAGTCCCCTCACAGCCTAGTGCATCTTCTGTGGTGCTCAGCCCCGACTCAGCATCAACTGGAGGGAGGATGGCAGGTGCCTTACACAGGCGGCAACCCTGCTGCCTCCGCCCGTGGCCGCCTCCGCCTCTCCTTAGCAGAGAGTATGGCCGCGTCGCTCACTGCTTCCACACTCCCCAGGATCTCATTGACTCAGATGAGCTGCTGGACCCAGAGGATTTGAAGAAGCCAGACCCAGCCTCCCTGCGGGCCCCCTCCTGCGGAGAGGGGAAGAAGAGGAAGGCCTGCAAGAACTGGTGAGTGCTGCCCGCAGCAGGGTCCAGGTGCTTCTGGCTTCTCTTCCCGCAGTCACTGTGCTCTCTGTGATTACAGCAGGGCCTCCCTGCAGGAGCATTCTAGAGAACAGTAAAATGAACACCAGGTACGCCTCGCCAGGTTAAGAACCAGAGCTATTACTGGTATCTTAGCAGCCGCCTCTGCATGCTTATTTCAGAGAGGGAGGGAGAGGAAGAGAGAGAGAAACATCAATGATGAGAGAGAATCACTGATCAGCTGCCTCCTGCACGCTCCCTACTGGGGGCCGAGCCCACAGCCCAGGCATGTGCCCTGACTGGGAATCAAACTGGTTCATAGGTTGATGCTCAACCAGTTTTCACATGTGGGTGGATAGTTTAACCACCTACATGTGAATCCCCAGACAATGTATTATTTGTGAAGAACTGAAGAGGAAGCCCCAACCTGAGTAGACAAGGAAAGATGGAGATTCCATATCTCAGAAGGCTCCCAGGGAGGAAAGATCGGCAGGGTCCTCTGCTCCGGCTTCTTTGAGAATCTCGCAGAGCAGCTCCCGGGAAGTCAGTGGGAAGGAATGGAGAGGAAAGTCTGCGTACATTTGGTACTGCCAGGATTGGGGGTTTCTGGGTGGTGGCCAGTCTCACTCATCAGCTACTGATTCCCCAGCACGTGTGGCCTTGCTGAAGAACTGGAAAAAGAGAATTCCCGGGCACAGACAAGCTCCCAACCCAAGTCGGCTTGTGGAAACGTAAGTATCGTTGCTTAGTATTTCCCAGTCCTTAGCGGTCTCGGGCGTCATTCTGAACGCCACACAGACTAGCTCCCGCTGTAAGGAACTTCCTGCCCAATATTTCAATAATCGGTGAACATGTGAGAACATGTATGTAGGTCTTCATGGGGCAGCACGGTTATCTCTTAAGAGAGGGTCAGCATGCCCATGCCCAGACGGGGGCTCTTGTTTCTTATTTTTGTCCCTTCCTACTTCCTGGTGGGCCTGAGATTATTCAGCCGTTTGGCTGAGCTCAGCTGGTACTTGAATGCTGAGAATATAGAAATATGGCCTAAGGAGCTTCTCTAGGCCATTGTTCTCATAGGACCAGAGATCTTTAAAACTCTCTCTTGTGTCTGGGCCCCCAGGGGACCTACAGATGCACCCAGCCATTTCCTTCAGCCGCTGAGGCCATAACACGAAATTAGGGATCCCGTCCTAGCCCCTATTCCTGGCATAAGCTCCCCGTGTGATGGTCTCTCCAGTATATTACAGTATATCGTTGTATATTTACTATGTCCACAGTGTTACCTGGGCGACGCTTTCCGCTGCGCCAGCTGCCCCTACCTCGGGATGCCAGCCTTCAAGCCCGGGGAGCAGGTGCTCCTGAGCAACAGCAACCTCAGCGATGCCTAGGAGGGCCCCGCGGGCACACGGCTCCTCCGCCATCCTGCCTCAGACCCTGTCTCTGCACTGGCTCCCTCTCTCCGAAACCCGTTTGCAGGGAGGGGCTTAGGCAGAGTGAAGCTGCCTGTGGGGTGCCGGGGTGTGTAGTGCTGCTGTGGATCAACCGGGGCGGGCCGGTTCCTCATAGTGTTAGGGAATCGGATGTGTCCTGGAGAGGTCCCCCTCCCGGGGTCAGCGTGCTGATCATAACACTCCGCGCCCAGGCTCCCCGAGTATTAACTCCGTGACAGGGCCCTGCCCTACTCTGTGCTCAGCGGGCGCCGCTACGTGTCTTACCGAGTTGGTGGCTTACGCACCATGCAGTTCCTGGTGACGTGAGTCAAGGGATTCGTCACCTCAGGGCACCAAGGGGGTCACTCAGGGGTTGCTGTGATCATAGTCCCTGTACCCCTCCATCCCCACCCGTGTTTTCGTGTTTTGCACCTGTGTTCTGTTATCTGCAGTTACTATTAAACTCGTGTACTTCCACGGACCAGTTGTGACGAGGGGATGTGTGTGGTGTCTGACCGCCGTGCAAACTCAACTTGCACCACAGAACTTGCTGTTTTGGAGACTTGTGCCCGCACGGTGGGGCTGGTCCTTCTAGGAACCGGGCCTCTCCGGCTCCTTTAGAAGAAAGGAGGAAGCTGGAGGAAGCAGGACAGAGACCTGAACCCACAGTTCACCTCTCTGAGCAGGAGACCCTTCTCGTTACCGCCCTCACAGACTCGGAGTGGGTCTGGCCAAATAGTTGGGAGAGAGTGTGGGTCTGAGAGCCCTGGATTTTCCTATCTTACGAATAAATAAAAGCGTTCTTTGGTTTTAGTGCTCGAAGCTTGCTTTTGCTTCTCCTGGTCCCGGCGGGCGGAGCTCAGTTCTGGGTGTGGCTAGATTCTAGTTTGACTGCGAAGCCCCTGTGGTGGGTAGAGTTCCAGGACGCCCCTTAGCCCCCCACGCCCAGTGGATGCCTGTCCTTGCATTTGAGCGGGGCCTGTGAGCATGCTGGGCCCTCACTGCTGTGGCGAGATCACATGTGGCAGAAGTGAGGGTTTGCAGGCGTGAAGTCCCTAAGGGACCATCAGTGAAGGAGTATCCTGAGTGGGTCTGGCCTCTAGTGCCGTGATGTGAGATCCCGGGCGAGGGACTGCAGGCAACCGCTGGGAGTCGAGAGCAGACCATTGAGGGTCTTGCAAAGGTTCTGCAGTGAGAGGTGGGCAAGATGCGGGTGGGGCTGCAGGAACCCCCAGGCCAGGGAGCTCCCCAGCTGGAAACATCTGCAGAATTGGGTCAGAGACTTAAGGGGACCGGGCAAGAGGTCACAGGTGAGCACAGAGGCTGGTCTGGGAGGAGATTGGGGACTTAGGGGTCTGACAAGAGACCTGAGAGAACCCAGACAATGCTCCCCAGAACCTCTCCCTGCTCATGCACCCCGGGGGGGTGGGGGAGGTCTGCCGAGCCTCTTCATCCACGCCCCCTGCTCTTACCTCAGCCCCAACCCTGCCTAGGCCTCTCACACCAGGGCCTCCCTCACCGAGTGTGGCCTGTCCCCAGGTCCCTCTGAGCCTCAGCTCCCTTTCTGACCTGGATGGGGCAGGACCAGATGTTCTCCAAGGGGCCAGCAATGTGACAGCCTGGGGGACAGACACACTGACACAGACTGCGGCAGAAAGACTTTAATGGGGGCTTTTCATGCCTCGGTTCCAGTTGGGAAAGGGATGGTACTCCGTCCCTGGGTGGCCCCCACTGGACCCAGGCCGCTGGGGGGTTGGGGTAGTGAACACTGAGGCACTGAAGTTTCCACATGGTCCAGGGAGAAATCAGGACTCCTGGACCCTGGTGTCATGTGACTTCATGATGGTTCGCAAGTATTTGATCGCCTTCTTCACCGTGGTTTCCTTGGGGTTCGCACAGATGGACCTGCCCTGGACAGTTACAAACCTACAGAGGGAGAAAACCGGGGGGTGTCAGGGCAGAAGGCTCCACAGAGCCCAGCAGCCTCGTCCTGTGCCTGCCGGACTTGCAGACGTCACACGGGGTCAGTAGGAAATCTGGGACCTCAGGCTCTGCCTCAGTGACTCTTCCCTTCCAGAGAGCCCGGGAACTGGGAACTGGGGGGGGGGGGCGGGGGCAGGAGGGGCGGGGAGTGGGTTCAGGGGCAGGGCCTGGGTGACAGAGGGGACGTGAAGGCCACACTCTCCTTTCTCCTTCCCAGGGGCCCTTCTGGAAGCTCCAGGACCTCCCTCTCCCATGCTCAGCCCCCAGGATCGGGGGGGGGGGGGGGGGCGGGGCGGGGCCGCAGGCTTACACGACAGCAGCCCTGGGACACTCCTCCGAGGTCCGGTACCACCGCACCACCCTCCGCACAGGGATGGCCCCTTTGAAGTACTCCACGCAGCACTCCCGGCCCACGTTGATCCCTCGAGCTGCGGAGGAAGAGGCGGGAGCAGGTGTGAGACCTGTGCTGTGGGCAGGGGCCTGTCTGTGTGTGTGTGTGTGTCTGTGGAGAAGAGTCTGTGCACGTCTGTGTGTGTGTGTGTGTCTGGAGAGGAGTCTGTGTGCACGTCTGTGTGTGTGTGTGTCTGTCCCTCTGTGGAGAGGAGTCTGTGCACGTCTGTGTGTGTGTGTCTGTCCCTCTGTGGAGAGGAGTCTGTGCACGTCTGTGTGTGTGTGTGTGTGTCTGTGTGTGTGTGTGTCCGTCTGTGGAGAGGAGTCTGTGCACGTCTGTGTGTGTGTGTGTGTGTGTGTGTGTGTGTGTGTGTCTGTGGAGAGGAGTCTGTGTGCACGTCTGTGTGTGTGTGTGTGTCCGTCTGTGGAGAGGAGTCTGTGCACGTCTGTGTGTGTGTGTCTGTCCGTCTGTGGAGAGGAGTCTGTACACATCTGTGTGTGTGTGTCTGTGTTGATGGGAGGATCTGTGAGTGTGTTTCTGTGTGGGGAGCATTTAGAGGGCCTGCACGTGTCTGTGTGTCACATGCTCACATTTATGTGCCTAAGGTCTCTGTGGGCTTTGGGAGCTCCTGTATGTGTGTGTGTGTGTGTGTGTGTGTGTGTGTGTGCGCGCGCGCACATGTATCTGTGTGTGCTTGGGAGGGTGTGTGTGTGTGCATATGTCTGAGTGTGTGTACCTGTGTGTGTTTGGGGGAGTGGTGCATGCTTACTTGCATGCGTGTCTGTGTATGCATCTGTGAGTGCACGCTCAACGCCAGCTCCGGGCTGAGCCTTCTGCACAGCTCACACGGTCCCCCAGCACACCTGAGACAGGTGCCTTCATCCCCCATTGGACAGATGGTGAGACAGAGGCCCAGGGGCTCAGTTCCCTCATCTCTGCACAACGACAAATATCTGACACTTGCACAGAGACAAGCTGGAGACGTGTGGCTTCGTTACTACCATACCAGCATGTTTTCTAAGAAGCCTGGCTGCCCTCGACCATCCAGAGGCTGTAACCTGGTCTGACTCACTCAGGGCTGAGGTGCTCAGCGCTCGCTTCACAGGAGTGAGAACACAGGCACAGCCGCCGAAGGTGGCCCCTGACAAGATAACCTCCTCCGAGGCTGCCCGTGGGCTGGGCAGGCCCTCGCCAGCTTGTGTCTGATTTCAGCCTTCCTTTCCCAACTGAATGTAAAAACCTCTCTTCACATCTTCTGGGAACCGAGTCTCCAGCTTTTACCCGATTCCCTCAGGGTATGGAAAACCCATTCATTAAACATACACTGACAAATTCTTCTGAGAATTGTTCACTTTTCGCTGTTGAAACACAATCACAGCCACCGGCTCACACCATCGGAGTGTGAGATGTGGGAGCCCTCACCAAGCCTCCTCTCCTCCCCCTCCCCTTCATCATTGTTTTTCTCTCAACGCCTCCCTCAAAATCCTATTGCTGCTGACCTCTCACATCTTTGCAGGAATAAGTGAGCTGCAAATAACACACAAATGTGTGTGTGTCCATCTTCCCCGCCCCTGCCCCCCGACCCCTCTCACCTGCACGGGCGACCTGCAAGGAAGCCCCCAGGAGGAGGGTGAGCAGGAGCAGCGTCTTCCATGGGGCCATGGTGCTGGAGCCCAGAGAAGGTCTCTGCGTGCGGTCCCTCAGCCGGGGGAGACAGGATGGGCGCCCAGGGTGGAGGTGACCTATTTAACCTCGCTGGGATCTGGCCCCGCCCATCAGCGCTTCCTCCCATCCTTCCCTGGACCAGTGGAGTTCGAAGAACTTGAGATGATTCTGTAGAAGTCCAGGCTTGGAATGTTTGTGGCTTTCCAGTGAACAGGGGCTCAAGTGGGGACAGAGGTGGGGTATTCATCCGGGGGCCACGGCGACACACTTCTCCTTTTGCAGAGACATTTCTTGGTTCCTCTTAGGACAAAAAAAGCTTGATCCTCGACTGGAATTGTCCTGCTTCGAACCCCCTTTGTGCACGGTGCCCTGGGAGGGGGACAGCCAGGCAGGGGCCGAGAGAGGCTGCTTAACCTGTCCCCGGAGGCGCTCCGGGTGCAAAAGGGGCTCCTCTCCTCGGGGGACCAGCCGGGTGCACGGGCACACGGGCAACTCCCTGCAGGGAGGACCATCTCATTCTGAGAAAGGCCTGAGGCCCAGACAACTTTGGTCGTGGCTCCTTTCTCAAGTTCAAGTTCAGGGTCTTCCCCTGAGCCACAGAAGGCAGAGTCTAGCAGTTTCTAATCATCCTTTAGCCCAGATTTGATGTGTCTTCCTGGGAAGGCACATTCCCCCAAATGCAGGGTCTCACCTGAGCGAGGACACCTCTGGCTCCCAGCAGAGCCGAGTCTGCGTGGGACACCTGGTCAGGGTCCAGCCCTCTCCAGGCCCGGAGCAGACGTCCCATGCACCCAATGGCCACAGAATCCGTGCATCGGGTCAGCGGAGAAAATGGCCAATCCTCTGCTTAGGGCTCCCCAGGCCAGATCAGGAGAGCCCCTTCATTAGGTGAGAGCCCCGCCTACCTCCAGGTGGGCAGCTCTGGACTTTGATCCTGACACTTGGGATGGAGGCCTGGCTCCACCCTGTCCCTGAGGGACTGGGGGCAGCTCGGAATGACACCACCCCTGCAATCACATTCCATTACCAGGGATGATAACCCCTGGAATGACGCCGCCCCTGCAATCACATGCCATTACCAGGGATGATAACGGCAGGTGGTGTTTGTGAAACCCACTCCACTGGGACCAGGTGCTCAGCTGTGAACCCTGGAGAGGAAACCGTGACTCTGGACTGGACCACGGGCGGGAGAGCCAGGTGCTCCTCCTCCCCCAGGGCACCTTGGGAGGCTAGGCTGCTTCAGTTCTGGGGAGCAGGGAGTCGCCCCGTCCATGGCAGAGCCTCCTGTGGGCAGGATCCCCTCTCCCGGTCTCGGCCTCACTGCTCACAGACCCTCCCTGGGCCTCAGCTTCACCATCTGCAGAGGGGCATTTGGGCTGGCCCAGGGGCCCGTCACAATGGGCGCATTTCTCTGCTTTCCTCATCACCTGCCAGAGACCCCTAACCTCACCCACTCCTCAAGCCACAGTCTGGGCCGGTTCTTGGCCCCCTGCCCGCCTGGCTGGGCCATGACTGTGTCATCCAGGCAGCTGTTCATTTGCACATGCAATGGAGGAGAGGGGAGAGGGGCCTCCTGCCTGGAGGCAGAGCTTTGGGCCCAGAGGAAACACAAAAGGCAGAGGTGGGGGGGAGGGTCTGGGTCCCACGCTGGTGGGGAGGGTCTGGGTCCCACTTGGAGGCAGAGGGAGTGTGTCTGCTGATGCCGCCCTGTGGGGTAGAGTGTCTCCTGACCTCTCTGTTCCCCGTGGCCTCTGCCCAGTGGCTTCTGCCCACCACCTGTGGCTTCTCCACCTGCCACAAGGGTCCTTTGTGCACGGTGCCCTGTGCTGGACAAGAGGGGGCTGTTGTGATGGAGTAGCAGTTTGTTTATGGCAAGGCCCCGGCCCCCACAGCTGGGGAAACTCCCGAGTGGGTTGTGAGTCCCCCAGTTCTGCCAAAGACTCAGAACTTTTCTCTGGAAGGACCCGAATTCCCCTGTCCCTTCAGGGGAACGGGCCACAGCAGCAGGAACTGAAGGTCTGCACTAGCTCTGGGCTGCTGCAGGCTGCCTGGCTGGGGAGGGAGGAGGGACAGAGCAGCAAGAGGGCCAGTGAGCGCCTGCTGTATGCCTGGCTGGGCTGGGACTGTGGGGCAGGCAGAGGTCAGATGCAGCCCCTGCTCTTGGGGGAGTTCGAAGCTGGTGAGGCTGGAGGAGCAAGGCCTGGTCCACATAGGGATGTGCAGGTGAGATAAAGGGCCGTGAGGCCCAGAGTGGGGAGAGGATGCTACTGGACAACTTGGGAGGCTGCCTGGAGGAGGAGGCCATTGAGCTGGGCGCTGTGGGTGGGAGGATTTATGCCAAGAGAAGGAGGACCAGGCATTCCTCATGAGCAAAGGGCTTAGTAAAGGTGCAGAGGACAGACTGTGCAGAGATAAACGAGGGAAACAACTCGAAATGCTGGAGGACGAAAGAGCCTGGATGTGCCCCCAGGAGAGCAAGCTCCGTGAGGACGGGGCGTGTCTCTCTGCCCACCACCCTGTGTCCCCACTCCCAGCACAGTGCCTGGCACACAGCGGGCTTTCCATGAGGCTTGGCAGAGCGAGCAGGGGACCGAAGGAGAAGGAGGTGAGGCTGAGCAGGGGCCTCGGAGAAACCGCAGAGGCCAGCACACCTCCCGGCCTCCCTTGGGAGGCCGCGGAGACCAGGGACATTTTCAGGTGGTTTCCTCACCAGGGATTAACCGGCTTATTCCTCCCGCCGTGACACGGATTCTAAGGGACCTTCCAGACGGGTGTCCTGGAGCCTGGGCCTGTGATAAGGTCTCGAGGCCTTCATGGCGCTGTGTGGACTCTGTGACCCAGAGGTCTGTGGAGGGGCTGCCGGGGATAGGGAGCTCCTGGTGGAGGAAAGATAAGGGCTCAGGCAGGGAAACAAACCAGACGGGGCCTGTGAGGACAGTCAGTGGGAAATTGGGCCTGCGTGGGAGGACGCGGCCATGCCGACTCCGTCTCAACACCTCTGACTGGTGGGAGTCCACATCCCCACCCCCCCACCCGTTCAGCCTGGTCCTTTACCCTGAAAGGGAGGGAGAGGGGGCTCCTTCCCCACCCCTGGCTCTCCTGTGGGCTGGGCTGGGACCAGGGATGCTGCTGTCACACCAAGAACTTCGCCCCAGGCTGCAGAGCAGGGGACCGGTTGCTGGGGTGGAAGCAACTTATCACCTTCCAAGCCCACACGACAGTGATGGCATAAGTTGTCACCCCAGGTCACGGCCGGGTCAGCCGAGGCTCCAGGGGGTGCAAGCACTTGCCCGGGGTCTCAGGTAGCATCTGGGTGAGGATCTAGTCCTTTGTCTACCCGGCTCCATCCTCTCCCAGCTGAAGCTAGACCCCCTAGACCGAGGGGGGCTGAGATGTGAAGGCCTGAATGTTTTTACCATCCCCTGAGCCCAGAGCATGTCCGGCTCCCCTGTCCCAAGGGCCTGACCTGCTCACTGATGAGTCCGTTGTTCTGACTCATTGTCAGTCTGCTTGATTCCTCAAGGTCAGAGCCTCAAGGGTCATCCCTCAACTCCCACGTTCAATCAGCAAGACCTCTGAGTCAGCCACTTGGATGTGTCTTGACTCCATCTCCTTCCCACCATTCACATGGCCACCCCCTCCATCTCTCCGCTGGACAGGCCCCCCACGCAGCACCCAGCTTCCAGGCGTGCCCTCTAGTCTGTCCTCCTCCTAACGCCCAGCGATCATCCCAAAACACAAACTGAGCAAGGCTCCCCACTCTCAGAAATCCTTCAATGCCTCCCAGTGTTCTCAGGATGAAGTCCATCCACCCATCCATGGTTTATGGATGATGGACAGATGGAAGTCCTACCAACTTCTCCAGCATCAACTTTTGCCCCCACACACCCTGTTACTTGCTCTAGCCATGCCAGCCTTCTTTCAGTTCCTGGGAAAGCCAGGCTCTCAGTGACACCCAAACCCTTGTACAGGCTGTTCCTCCTGTCTAGAACACTCTCTCACACCCCACTTCCTTCCATTCCCACCCTCCTTCGGATTGCAGCGTAAACCCTCACTTCCTCCCTTCAGTCCCCACTTTCCTCTGTGTCCGCACAGGTCACAAACTTCCTTATCACGCTCTTCCCATTGGATTGTGATTGTTGGTTTATTGCTGCAAACTCCTTGAAAATAGAATCTCTTTTATGTTCCAACTTGTAACTATAGGACTTAGCACCCAGTAGGTACTCAATAAAATATGTTTATTTAATGGATGCAGAGGTAGGTGATTGAGTGGATAGATGGATAGATGGATGGAAGGAAGGAAGAATGGATAGGTTGATGGATGACGGATGGATGGATGGGAGGAAGAAAAGATGGATGGATGGATGGATGGAAGGAAAGATGGATGGATAGATAAATGGAAGGATGGATGGGTTGATGGATGATGGGTGGATGGATGGATGGGTTTTTGGATGACGAATGGATGGATGGATGAATGGAAGGAAGAAAGGAAGGAAGGAACTATGGATGGATGGATGGGTGGATGGTTTTATGGATGATGGACAGATGGATGGAAGGAAAGATGGATGGATGGATTGATGGGTTGATGGATGATGGATGGAAGGAAGGATGGAAGGAAGGAAGGAAGGAAGGAAGGACAGATGGATGGATGGATGGGCTGATGGATGATGGATCGATGCATGGACACTTACAAGCTTCTGAACTACAACAGGAGTCCAGCTTGCATTCCAGCCAGGGGCTCCTTCACTCCAGTCCTAATTATTTTTGGTCCAGTGCTTCCCACCAGTTCATGAGGCACACCTGAGTCCTCTGCCAAGGATGAGGTAGAGGAACCTGAACACGGCACTCTGGCTCCCTGTCCATCTAGTTCACAGCTTCCTTGTGGGTTCGGCCATTTCTGCCTCCTGCCAAACCTAATTGTTTCAGCGGTGGCTTTTCACTTCTCTCCTCCTTCAGACTGCAGCTTAAACCCTCATGTCCTTCTTCAGTGCCCACTTTCCTCTGTTTCCTCATTCCTTCTGCACCCCCAAAGGGCATCCTCCCCTTAGTTACACTCCCACATCTCAGCTCTTCACACCCTCTCATCCCATGTTCCCCTTCCCCTCTGCTGATGACGTGTTCCCGTCTC